TACCCATAGGCCCCATGGGAGTTCCTTTTAAGGGTTACCTTATAGGATTCTATATATGAACCCCCAAAAAGGAACTACTTTCGGGCCTATGGGTAGGGTTTACGGTCTGGGCCTAAATAATCTGGAGTTTTGGGACTCAGAGGTTTAGGGTGCGGTGTTTTTGGAGGTTTCCGCTTCGCTTGGGTTTCACGGATCGATGCCAAGCAGGCTCTTTGGGAAGCGATCTTGCATCACCTGTACAGGACCGATGTGAGCTATGAGCCATATGCATTCTTCTCGCGAAAAGCCCGAGCTGAATTGTCAGGAGCTTTCGAATTTATTCAGGGTGTCTAGAGAGCTTACTTCTCCTACGATAGGAAAATCTGTGCTCATCTAATAAGGATTGCTTGCCTAGTACTTGGCTGCTCTTTGGGGAGTTTTTTATTGCTCTTATGGTCCTCTAGCGGTACTCATTTACACATGCATTTCGGCGGGCCCTGAAACTGCGGGAACAGGGTTTAGAGAACTGATATAGGGCCCCACGGTAACCCTTTCTATAGGGTTAAGGGCTTTCGGGTTTTAGGGTTTCGGGTTTGGGTTTAGGGCTTTAGGGTTTAGGGTTTCGGGGTTAGGGAGGTGTGTCTGAATCGGAAACGAGTGAGAATGGCCACGAAGTCGGGTCCAGAGCAGTTTCTTAATCCTTGAGGTAGGAAGGGGGGGGGGGTATTATAAACCCTATATAATCCCGAAGGTTAACCTTCGTTCCTTAGGATACTGGACGTAAGGCTCTTGTCTCGGGCTGTACCAAAAGCTTCTTCTACAGGGTTGCAATCTAGCACTTGTATCAAGTGGCAGAATAACTAGGATGAGAGTGTTGGCTTCCCCAGCTAGGGCTCAGGCTTTTCAGGGTCTTCTCTTACCATGTTCAAACATAACCTTGAGCTTTAGATGGCAGCTTTCGGGCAAAGAACAACGCGATCTCATTTCTGGAATCTTTACTCTTGCGGTTTAGGGTTTAGGGGAATATTGTGTAAGATTTGTGGCATAGGGGCATACTAGTTCAGTTTTTAGATAGTGGTGTTTGGGGTTTAGGGTTTAGGGTTTTACTACGCCCTTTGTTGCTTGAGGTTGGAAGGTCTACAGCCTTGGGTGTGGGATTTAGGGCGCAGGAATTCATATTTCGGTCGGAAGGGTTTGCATTCATGTCGGTTTAGAGTCCGAACATGACTTGTGGAGCAACACACCTCCAGAAAAACGGCCTACTCCGATTGTCGGGCCCCTGCAGAATGGGGATCGCGGGACCCTAAACCCTAAACCCTCAGCTTCTGTTGGTCGGACCAGGCTTATAAATATAGTATAGTGGGCCCCAAAACCCGGTTCAAATTATCAGGGCTCCTATAGTAAGGGGCTTGTAGGTTACCGGAGTACGGGTTCGGGTTACCCTCGAAGTCCAGTTAGAGTCCGGAGGGTTACTGGGTGAGAGGTACTGTCGGCTTTACAGGGGGGCCCCCTAATCAAGAGCCCAAAGGGTCCTACGTGCCCACATGGTAGGGAGTAGGGTTTCTATACTGCGCCTTTCTCTTGTGGTTATAAGTTCTATAAGTCTTCCTCATGTAGCTACTGAGGATCCTTATGGGAACTCAGAAGACACACACTAGACCATAAATCCCCAACCCTTTAGGGTTTAGGGTTTAGGGTTTAGGGTTTAGGGGTTTAGGGGTTTAGGGGTTAGGGGTTTAGGGTTTAGGGTTTTTTAGGGTTTAGGGTTTAAGGCGCTGAACCCTTGATCCTACAACCCGTCCTCTGCAGCTCGACGTGGAGACGTGCGCGAGCAAGATTCGCATCTACACGGGACAAGATGGCAGGCCCACCGAATTCCACGGAGATGGGTTTAATTTAGGGGTAGCTCTCTAAATAAGGGTCCCTCTTAGGGTCCCTTTCAAAAGGGTGCCGAACTATTTGGGGGACCTAGAAAGGGACCCTTAATTTGGAGAACTACCCAATACGGCGGGCCCGAAGCAATTGTATTCTCCCAACAGTTATTCCCCAATCCAATTTAACTGTAAAGCCTGCCCCTATGTTAGGGGTGTGAGCGCGCGGTGCATAGCTACATTCAAGGTGCACGTTCTTTCTGTGGAAGTCTCTGCATCAGAAAGCCCTTCAGCCGAGGCCCATACTATAGATGTCTGAATAAATAGCAAGTGCCAACAGGTTTCCTAAGGCCTCTAAACCCTAAACCCTAAACCCTAAACCCCTAAACCCTAAACCTCTCCTAAGGCCTCTAGCTTCATCCCGATTAAAGCCGGAGGAACCTATCTCCCTGGGATTTACGTCTTTTTTGCCCCCAGACTGAATCCCTAACCCGCAGTACACCTTAATCCTAAACCCTAAACCCGAAGCCCCTAACCCGAAGCACTAGAAGCCTTGTAGTAACCCTTAATGGCTTCGTGCTAAGCCTGCTGAAGCTTCGCCAGACGATGAAGAGAATATGAGAGTTCCTCGTGTAAGGGCTTGGTGTAGGGTTCAGGATTTAGGGCCCTAAACCCTAAACCCTTTCGGGCTTAGGGTTTAGGGCTTATAGGGTTTAGAGTTTCTGGCTTCGGGTTGAAGATTTCGGGATTAACATATTGGGGCTCTGGCTTCGAAGTTTAAGGGCTGTAGGGTGAAAGAGTACCGGAAGTGCCTGCAGCCAAAAGCACCTAAAAGTGGGGCCCAAATAATTACCAATACCATTTTGGGGGTTCCGTATGATAAATATACTCTAAAGGAGCCCATAACCCCATTCTAATTATTACACGAGGCAGATTGTCTTGGTGAGAGGTAGAATGACCCCTGGGGTTCAGGGTTTCAGGGTTCAGGGTTATTTCACCTAATTTCATGAAGTAGGGTTCGTGCTGGTTGGGTGTATTATGGGGTGGTGGGTATTGTTCGAGGGTTTAGTTTAGGGCTTACAATAGGAATCTTGGCGAGTGTGAAAAAGCGCTCTTTGGGTTTAGGGTTTAGGGTTTAGGGTTTTTGTTGTGCTGAACGATGTCTTGTTGCCGCTGGACAATCTGGACTAATGCCTTTATCAATAATTATCTTTTATCGATCCAAGCAGCGGAAACTTCATGATTTGGCAGGTTCCAAATAAACCCTAAACCCTAAACCCTAAACAAAAAACCCTAAACCCTAGACCCTAAACCCGATCTTGATTAGTGAGTTGTCGACACAACTACGCATTTTTGTCCGAGCTGGGAGCGGTTTGGGAGCAATCCGAGGGAGCGAAGCGCGAAACGGTAGCAATTGCCAGGTTCAAGAGGGTCGGGCTCAGGGTTTAGGGCCTAGGGTCTCTAGGGTTCCGGAACAGTGACCAGCAAGGCCACAAAGCAATCCAAAATCATCCACAATAGTTATTTTGAGCCACACATTTCATGGCACGGATCACTCCAAAATCACCACTGTCGACCACGGATCACTTGAGCCACCATTCATTCCCAAATCAGTATTTCAGGTCACGGATCACTCCGCTGAGGCTAATGCCACAACAAATGGGTAGTTCTCTAAATCAGGGTCCCTTTTAGGGCCTGAAAATATAAATGGCGTATTATTTAGGGACCTAAAAAAGGGACCCTAATGCAGGGAAATGCCCGAATGGACGGCACCTTCAAACTTTTCAAGCCCCTTACACCCACGAACCCCAATCCCCTGCAGAAATCATTCGAGCCCCTGTTAGGGTTTAGGGTTTAGGGTTTAGGGTTTAGGGTTTAGGGTTTAGGGGTTTAGGGTTTAGGGTTTAGGGAGCCCTTTGCACATAGTTAGCAGGATCAGGGGACTAAGTATGCAGGGTAAGTGCCTTAAATACTTTGGGTTTATAAGTGAAAGAAACTGCGGCTACCCTAACTTATACTGACTATTAGCTACTTCTAAGCCCCCGATCCTCTGGGTAATCAACCCCTGGCGCCCCAACCCCAATATTCCAAATAGACCACTAAATTCCCATACGTTGCAGAAGCCTGAACACCAACTAACACGATTCCTCTTTAGGCCCCCGAATAGAATTAGCAGCGCACCATGCCCCAAAAACGTGAGTCAGCCTATTTTGGCCTATAAACTACCTGGGCATCTGAAGTTTTTACTTGGGCGCGGCGAACTTACTAAACCCTACACCCAGAACCCTAAACCCAGAACCCTAAACCTTCAAGCCTGAACCCAGAGCCCTAAACCCTACATCCAGAACCTTAAACGCTAAACCCGGAACCCTGAAGCCTTAAACCGTAATTAACCTCTAAACTCTACCCATAGGCTCCATAGTAGATCCTTTTTGGTGTTACCTTATACGATTCTATATATGAACCCCAAAACGGAACTACTTTAGGGCCTATATGGGTTAACCCAGGGCCCTAAACCAAGAACCTAAACCCTAAACTCGAAAACCCTCAACCCTAAAAAAAAACAGAACTTCTGGCCAAGGTGCAAAGGCGACGCCCTCGTAACCTTTGCCAATGCCGCGTCCGTGCAGCTAGCGGTCGGAGCCTCCGCATGGAGTATGCCGAAGAAGGTTTGCATAGGTTTTTGGGTTTAGGGTTTAGGGTTTGTAAGTTGGGGATATGTTGGAGTATTTGAGGTAGGGTATGATTTGTGGATATGGAGTATGTGAAATGGGGGTTGAAATTGGGGATTTCGTAAGTGTATACAGTGTATTTAGTCCTTTGACTATGATGACTGTGTCTTCAGGGTTTGTTTAGAGGCCAGCAATACGAAGAACCATGCCGAGTGGGGTTTGGTGACATGGTAAGACGAGGTTAACGCTTTTCGTAGGGTTGTACACGGAAGCTGGAGGGATTTATACGGTCTTTCGGGATTTAAAGCAGTCGTAGTTCCCAACAGGCCAAAAAACTGGCTCTTGAGAGAAATCCTAACCCCCCCCCCCCCNNGCCCCTAGGGCCCTACATAGTAGGCACCTGGCCCTAAACCCTAAACCCTAAACCCTATAAACCCTAAACCCTAAACCCTAAACCCTAGATTTCCTCATATTATGAGGAAATCACAGTAGCGAAGTCCGAAGATGCAGGTTCTCTGGGCGAGAGGTATGCCTTCGGCCTCCAAGGGGCCGAAGAGAAAGAACACCAGATTTTAAAGTTTAGGGTTAGGGTTTAGGGTTTAGGGTTTAGGGTTTAGGGTTTAGGGTTTAACCATAGGCCTAAAGTAGTTCCTTTTGGGGGGGGTTCATATATCGAATCCTATAAGGTCACCGCAAAAAGGAACTACTATGGGGCCTATGGGTAGATGGAGTGGTGAGAAAGTCACATTATTAACCTTTGTTCAATCAATTTTTTGGGGGGAGTTGAAAAGTAGTACAGTAGGTGTGTGTGTACATATATATATATATATATCTTTGGGCAAGTAGTGAAGCTGAGATGCAAGGCACAGCCTACTTTCTACTATTGCGGTGGGGTAACCTGGTTTCTCAAGGCGGATTTGGCACCCTAAACCCTAAACCCTGTACCCTGTAAAGTCGCTGCAACTCTTACTCCGGGGAAACTGAGCGACACCACGGCGGCGAGACGCCTTTCAGGAGGGCCGAGTTTCGTGCTGATTTGGCACTGTTAGGGTTTACCCATAGGCCCCATAGTAGTTCCTCTTTGGGGTTACTTTATAGGATTCTATATATGAACCCCCAAAAGGAGCTACTTTAAGGCCTATGGGTAGTGTCTGGTTGTTCAGGGTGGGGCTTAGGGTTTCGGTTCGGGGACAGGGTGGAGCACTCAAGGAGCAAAACTATGAAGAAGGTATGCGGTGCCCTAAAACCCTGGTCAAACTTATAGAACCTCTGCTACAGCCTTTATGAAGTGGGAGAAAAAGCCTGATGAAGCCTCCCCTGAACCCTAGAGCCCGAATTCCGGAACCCTAGACCCTAAACCCTAGAGCCCGAATTCCGCAACCCTAAACCCTAAACCCTAAACCCCTAAACCGGAACCGTAGACCCCCCGAAACCCCCAAACCCCAAAGACCCTAAGCCGAAACACACGAAAGCTTCAAGCCCAGAGGCCTGGGCCATGATCCCTTTTGATTGGATACCGCCCCCACTCAGAAACACTTGGAACATTGATATTATATATTATAGATGGGTTTAGGGTTTAGGGTATATAATGCCCTTTAGAGTACCCCCTTATTATGCACTGTTGCTGTGGGGGGGGGGGGGCAGTACCCAACCTTATCAGGTCAAGTTCTTACACGAGTACGAGATTCGCCCGGGCTGTCGCATCTGTGTGCAGCAGGCTTTGGGGTTTATTGGTTTAGGGTTTAGGGTTTATTGGTTTAGGGGTTTAGGGTCTAGGGTTTTTAGGGTTTAGGGGTTTAGGGGTTTAGGGTTTGGGGTTTTAGGGTTTAGGTTGCAGGGCCCTAAACCCTAAACCCTAAACCCTAAACCCTAAACCTAAGGAACCCTAACTTTTTTAGGGTTCCCTATTCCGGTTTCCTTATAGAAATCCTTCAAAGGGTAGGTTATTCACGGTCCGGGTATGGATTAACTGATGCAAGTTCAGGGTTTTGTGTTTGAATTTAGGGTCCAGGCTTCAGAATTTAGGGCTTAAGTAAGGGTTTAGGCTTTAGGGATCAGGGACGCTTGGGCCGACAATCAAAAACAGAGGCTGTTGTAGAAAAGGGTACTTAAAGGATCATGGGACTTAGTAATTAGGGTTATTTAATGGCTGCCGCCAATGCCGCCGACCCCGAATGGACAGCAGGCAGCCATAATGCGTAGGGTTGGGTAGAATTGTTGGG